GTATTAATCACGAAAAGAGATGTATGGTGTAAATACGGCTTTCTTTTTTTTTTTCATTCAAAGTTTCAAACTTTTTCCAATCAAAACGCAACCTTAAACGCCGTCTTTTGTAGTTGGGCCGAATTTAGGGCCCATGGGTTAAACTTCTTTGAAATGTGATTAATTTTTTACTGATGGGCATTTTTTTTTATTTGAACTTTTTGTCATGAACAGGTTGGAAACCTGATCAGGAAAGAGGGATATGCATTTTTTCAATAGCATTAATTATTGGGGTAAAAGCCTAAAAATAGCCCCTTACCTTGATAAGTTAGACGATTTTAGCCCTTCACCTTATAATATAACGGTTTTAGCCCCTAACCTATAAGAATGGAAGAAAATAGCCCTTACTTGTAACTTCCGTCACTTTTTGTCACACATTTGTCACTTCCGTTACTTCGTCTGTTATATTTCCGCTAACTTCCGTTACCATTAAAAAAATGAGAAAGCTTCTCCAAGAGGCCTATTGCATTTTTTTTGGGAATTCCAACTTTTTTTTTTCGAGATTTGTAACAATTTTTTTACCTTTATTTTTAAAGACGCTATACATGTATTAATTATATATAATTTTTATATATTATTAAATAAATAGATATAATTAATATTATAAGTACAAATAAATAAAACGAATGAATAAAATACATAATATAATAAAAAAGGGTAAAACTTCCTCAAAAACCTGCTGCATTTTTTAAAATTCTAACATTTTTTGGACTTTTATTTTTAAATATTACTACATATATCCATTGTAGTCAACCTAAAAAATAACCTGCATACAACATATTTTTAATTTTGAGACTAAGATATAAACAACAAATTAAAATAAGACAAGAAAGCTAATTGATTCATTCCACTTTAATATTCATACGAAATATTATATATCTTTATAGACAATAACTTATAACACATATAACATATCACTTGTCCTAATTAAGCCATCTATCTTAAAATAACATCAGTAAATATTCATCTTAATCCAAAAAAGTAG